ATATGTTTACAACATAATTATTATATTTACAAATACAAATAATTAAATAGCTAATAAGATAACATAATTATACGAAAACACAAATACTAAATTAAAAATTATATTTTAAATAATAAAATTATGTTACCCAATTAATTTTTTGTTTTAAATTAATTTAAAGCTAAACTAAATTATTAATACAGACTCGCGCGTAGCGCGAGTATAAAATCTAGTTTTATAAAACCGACAAGTCATGTGATAATAGTAATCAGGGAGAAGAACGTCCTACGTTACATCCTCGAAGTGGTGTATCGTTGAATGGAACTATGTTTTGGATTGTTTTTGTCGGTCCCTTGTATTTTTTTTGGTATCGTTGAATGTCCTACACACCTCGAGCAAAGAATTCAACAGATATTGTGATCTACCATGTGAGAAGAGCCATATTAGAGATGTCCTTGTTCTTAATGTCTTCAAAGGAGATTGGTTTTCGGTGTTAAAGCATTGTCATGTAACACAGAAGATTGAGATTTGGGTGACCAAGAACAAGGTCAACGTTGAGAATGGTGATGGTTTGGTTTGGATGAATTTTATGACTTTTTCAATTCCCAACTTTTCCAGTTTAATACAGATCCCCTACTTTATGCAGCCGAGTTCCTTCATTGACAACAATGAAAGGCTTGTCATCTGTTCTTGCGATAAAACTGGCAAACCTTGGATCTATGTTATGGGGGACAATAAGTTGATCAGTAAAGTCCAGTTAGATTCTGTGGATCCTTGGCCTTTGCATTGCACTTATCTTCCCAGCTTGGTCCCAGTACCTCGAGGCCAAAGAGATGAAGAAGAATCACAAGTTTAGTGTCATTTCATGCCTTTTCTATTTTGCAACTAGAGATTTTGCTCATTTGCCTTTTTGGTTTTGATTTTATTCTGGAGAAATAACTCCTTTTGGATTTGTTAGAGCAAGCTAGTTTTTAACGGGCTCACTTTTACTCTAGTGGTTTGACTTTGATCTTGCAAGTGAACATCCCGTGTAAAAGTGATCACAACACGAACCTTCCATTTGTAAGAAAAACTATATCTTGAGAAAATATTCTAATCACTAAGTCCATCGAGGACAGAGTTGTCAAGATTTGTTTTGAATCCTTCAAGAACGCTTTGAGTTCTTCGTAGTTACTCTCCCGCTCATGTCACTGTCTACGACTGTCAAGCGGTGTAACTCGTGCATTACCTCCATCTCTCATCCATAGATGGCCTCGCAAAAAAACAAGATTAAATTACATATCTAACATGTTAAAACTGAACTTTTAAAAATTAACCTTATGTTCATGTGTTATTTTATATAAATTGCCACTGAAAAATAAAGTTATCCCCGAGTCTTCATTAATGATGTTTTTTTCTTCTTTTTATCTCGTCTCTTTGTTGGATTCGCAAGAAACAAAACACAAAGTTAGTTTCAGCAATATCAGTTTGATTCGTGGATCAGCCATTGTCTTTGATTCAACCGAGAGTTTTTGATCTTCAATCATTCAGATGTCAGATGCGATTGATCAATAAGCAAGGCCATGAAAGTGTATCAGATCTCTTTTCCTTCCATCTCATGTTATTATTACCTTTGAATCCCTCAATTTGCTGTCTAGGGCTTTATTGTGGAGATTTCGGATCATGAGAAATGAAATCTCTGCACTTTTGTTTCTAGATATTTAGTTTTTTTTCTTGTTTGTCAAAATGTGAATTCATTTCATTGAAATGGCATTGTGATACCAGCTGTAGTTAAATCAAAAGCTGCTAGAGTTAGCAATAGACTATCTAAAGACCAGCATAATAAATTATACTCAAGTGAAGCACTACTGGTAAGGGTTTGGGTTGCAGTATCCTTCACTTTATGACTACTATGTTGTGCCTTTGTTTATATTATTGTTTCACAAAAAAATTTAGAAATTATTTTCTAAAAATTAATAATATTTTTTATATATGTATTTTTCATCAAATAGTTAATAAGCAAATATTTTAAACAACATAAATAATTATTTAATATCTTATTTTTCAAATGATTATATCTTATGATTATTTTAAAACCAAATAAATATTTAAAAATTTAAGGCTGAAACAAAAATATTTCTTATTATCACTATATTTTTTTATTAAATTAGAATTTTTAGAAAAAAAATATTAATGCTTCAATCTCTTTGATTTTATCAAAACAAACATTTATCAAATTATAAATAAACATACAAAATATATTTATAATCATAAGATAAAAGTAAACAAAAACTAATTAACAATATATTCTTAATTAATACTGTAATTAATAAATTGTGATTAAAAAATTTGTTATAATTCAGTATACTAAAATACGAATAACCAACCATTCATTCACTATTTGGATGAACACCTCAGGGAAGCTACTTGGAGGAGCCATTACTCAAGATTGGGACGACACGGTTGGAACTTGGAACATTACTACAGCCTACGCACAATAGGATGGATAATGTTCTTAGACGACTGTGTTTCCAAACGGTTCTATATGCAGTTTGGAAGGAGATAAATTTAAGACGCCATGGTAGAGTTAGGACCTCGATAGAAGCTATCACGAGGAACATTGACAAGCTGGTGCGTAATAGAATCTCATCGCTTCGATATGCAGCAGGGCACCCACTGGAAGGACTTCGTCAGAGGTGGTTTGAGCTCAGCTCAGCCTAATTCATAAGGTCACTCTTCTTTTATTCGTTCCTAATGATAGTATAGTCATACAAACCTTTTGTAAATGTCTTTTTTGATCAATAAATTTGATATTCAATCAAAAAAAAAAAAACCAACCATTCTTAATGTAGAAAATCAAATCAACCAATTACTATGATTTAATGTGTAAGAGTTCTAAAAATATTACAAGTTATGTTTATTAATGCAACTCTGATTTATTATTTATGTTTCTTATAATTTGCTAAAACATATACCAATTTATATAAAAGGTTACAAAAATATAAAGATGACGAACTGAACTACATGAATTTTGAAAAATAATGATCCAATTTTAACATAATAAAGATTGTTTAATTTAAAATAAAAATGTAATTGAACATATAAAAAATAAATAGTTTAAATAATACAAATATTATATGTTGAAATCACATATCTAATTGGGCTGGGAACATAATGATACATAATATATTTTTGTTATACATATAAATTATAAATTGTTGTAATTGAATTATTACAGAATTGTAGAAAAAGTATTTATAAATTTTTATAATTGAATTATTACATAATTTTTTGTACCCCATCATGAGCACTAGAAATCACCTAGTCTATACTATTATTTGAGAATTGATTTTGGCATCCGAATTCGCACGTTGAAAGTTAGAGTGGTTAATATTGTGTATACTTTTAATGAATAAAATATATAATTTACTAAATAAATTAAAAAAATTTTTAAAATTTATTTTAAAATATATTTTAAAATTAATAATAATAAGAATTATTCAAAAGTTAAAAATATATTTTAAAATTAAAAATTAATTCCTAATATATATTGTGTCAGTTTCTAAAAATATCTGCTAATAAAAACGTTACAAATTAAAACCAAAATACATAACTAAATATTAATCAAGTAAAATTCTTAATTTATATAATTGAAAAGAGAATATTGAGTGATTTGAAGATTTATTTATTAATACTGAATACATTAAACAATCAATTTTTTTTTTTAAAAAGAGTATGTAAGAAATTAAATGAAAACATAAATAATAAGTTATCATTATAGTTTTTAGTTAATAATTCATGTCTTAAGAAGTTATTATAAAATGATTAGCCCCATATATGCAGGCGAAACACCTAGTCAATATATATTTACCAACATTATGTTGAAAGCCTAACTAGTAATAAAAAAAAAAATGGAATCAAACATAAAAACCAAAAGGCAGAGATAGCTGCGCATGAGGAGCAGCTCCCACCGCAGTTGATTGAAGAGATACTCTCTTGTCTCTCCAAAATCTTGTGTGTACTTCAGAGTTGTTTGCAAACGATGGAACACCATCTTGGATGACAAGACCTTTATCCACAACCACAAGGAGTCGTATCCACAACCACAAGGAGTCGTTTCGATTCATCCTAGAAACAAAATCAAAGTTTAGTTGGTAAGCATCAATCATAGGATAGTGGTGCGTGAGTTAACATTGAAAATATATATATTCCCAGTTTAGAATCTGAGTACCATAAAAAATTGGTGAATAGATTGAATGGATACATTTGGAAAGAGGCTACAAGTTATGAATATGTGAAAATAAGTGAATGCATCACATTTACTTATATTCGTCACCGTCAGTTTTGAATATACTTTCTACTTCTTCGGCAACAATATATATCACCCAACTACATTTTTTTGTTTTGCTTATGAATCTAAACGATCATTTGTTTCTTCATCTTGTAGATGTTTCAGTCTTACAGTCACTGCAATAAATTCCGCCTAGTCTAATGTGTAAGACGATCCATCAATTTGTAAGAAGAACTACAGAGCAAATATCTTTCGATCATTAAATCTACACATTGAGACTTTATTGTCTGCTTACTATCGTTTGCATAAGACCATTGATGTCAGAGTTGTCAAGATTTGTGTTGAATATTTCAAGAACATTTTTGAGTTCTTTGTAAATTACTTGTTCAAAAGCTCATATGTTCTCCTCGTAAACCCTTTGTTCTTCCTCGAGTGTTAAATCGTTCTTGATGTTGAAGTTGGTTTCACGAATTTCCTTTGTAGTTTTGCCTTCAATAATGCTAGCGACTTTTTGACAAGCAAATCAAGCAAGCTTTCATGAAATCAGCGTCCCAACTCCTGACATTATCTTTCATAGTATATGAGGATTCAGCTTCGACGTGTTTCTTGCAATACTCATTCCCTTCCCCTTGGAGTTTTCCTGTGAATTTTATAACCTTCATTTCAAAGTGCCATTGACTAGCAAATTCTTTGAAATCTCTGCTCGATTTGAATGCGACCTATTTACTAACCACCAATGGTGTATTATAGTTGAGCTAAATAGCTTATTTGTGTATTGTGTGGAGATTTGGGAACTGCATCCTTCGGCTTGAAGATGTTCTTGTGTGAGTCAATCACTTGTGCGCGATGACAAAACTAGTTATCCTTTTAAGTTTTTGAACTAATGGTAACCAATTTTTTCTGGAAAAGAATGAAACCTATGTTGGGTTGTCTGTGATCAGATCTTGGAGTTCATCCTCGTGACCAAGGAGAGTGGTCTTGAATGCTTCTGCCATCAATTCCAAATTTATAGACACAAATGGCAGTGTGAACGCTGATGCATACGAGATCAGTTATTTCTTTCTTATGCGAGCATACAGTATGTCAACGATGACGAAGATGAATGTTCATAAGAAATTTCGGTTTGATACTTCCTAAATCTGATATATATGATTGAAAGAGTGTACAACAAGAAAATTTAAACATTAGATTCTACGAGGTACATTGTTAAAATAAATAAGAAATTGGAAGAAAACATAGTCAGTCATTATATGACACATGATAAGTTCAATGTAATTGACAGCTAATTGAGTTGGCCACTTTAGATGACCATAATAAACAGTGGAACTGACTATGGTTGATTAGCATGGACTTAGACTAAGGAAGTGGTATTGGATTCAAGAATTTAGTGGATTTATAAAGAGTTCAATTGAAGACATAAATAATAAATCTTGAAGTATTTGAAATGATTTGATGAGAATTTTAATGCACTTTTGCAATTCTTTCATTTTAGATTTTAAAGAAATAAAAATAAATTCCTTTAAATTTCATGAACTTTTTGAATCTTTGTATGCACAAGAATAGAACACAAATTTACCTAGAAAAATAAAAATCCATTTTAGAAAGTGGAATAAAAACTCTATGAAAAGTAATAAAATCCAACTATTCTTAAATCATTATATAAAGATGTAGAGGTAAAACTATATCAGAATATAAAAATTTTGTTCATCCTTTGTAATATGGATTACAAAAACAAAATAATATTGTTTTTTCATTCATCAAAACTGTTATATATTTTTTAAACTTACAATGAACATTAAATTACCAAATCTTTTGTATCAATAACTTTGACGTACACATCTAAAAAATAAATGACATAAAGTATACTCTTCAAATCCTAACTTGAATCTTAAGAATTGGTTCTTTTATATTTTACGATAAATGTTTCATTAAATTCTTTTCAAATACCATGAAATCCACCACAAACTGAATAACACATATATTTAATAGAATTAGAAAATGAGTGAACTGAATAACACTGGAATTTAAAGAATTTATTAAGAAGGATTTCAAATACATAATCTAATAACATATTTATGAAACACATAAGGAAATTTCAATTATTTCAAATTTAGTTTAACTTCTAAATTCAATACTTCTACCCAAGTGAAGGAACTTCTAGATAATGTTCCCAGCTCTTCACAAAACTACTTCACCAAATTCTGGTACCTTGAAGAAAAATCACAAATAAGTTTCATAACTTCAGGAACTGGCTCCAAAAACTTCTAGAAAATTGGCATTGTTAATGACTTTTTCTTGTCATTTCATTATAATACATCGTTATTTTTAAATTTAGTTGATTTTTGTAGGAAATTGGCCTTATGGTATAGGATTGAAGAATTTAGTTGGATTTTAAAGAGTTCAATTGAAGACATAAATAATAAATTTTGAAATATTTTAAATGATTTGATGAGATTTTTAATGGATTTTTCTAATTCTTTCATTTTAGATTTTGAAGGAATACAAATAAATTTGGTAGAAACAAATTCTTTTAAATTTCATGAACTTTTTGAATGTTTTTATAAAAAATCACAAAAAGGAACACAAATTTCACTGAGAAAAATAAATCCATTTTAGAAAGTGGAATAAAAAACTCTATGAAAAATAATAAAAATCAACTATTTGTATACCATTATATAAAGATGAATAAACTATATCAGAATATAAAAAGTTTATTCATCCATTGTAATATGGATTAAAAAAAACTAAATAATATGGTTTTGTCATTCGTCAAAATGGTTGTATATTATTTAAACTTACAACGAACATCGCATTACCAAATATATCGTATCGATAACTTTGGCATACATATCTAATAAATAAATGACCTAAAGAATTCTCTTCAAATCCTAGCTTGAACCTTAAGGATTGGTTCTTTATTTTACAGTAAATTTTCAATTAAATTCTTTTCAAATACTATGAATCTACCAAAAATTAAATAACACAAATATTAATAGAATTAGAAATTTACTGAATTGCATAACACTACAATTTAAAGTATTTTAGAAGGATGATTTCAAATACATAATCTAATAACATACTGATGAAACACATAAGGAAACTCCAATTCACTCAAATTCAGTTTAACTTCTAAACTGAATAACTCCACATAAGTAAAGGAACTTCCAGATAATGTTCCTAGCTATTTACAAAAATATTCCACCAAATTCTAGTACCATGAAGAAAAATCGCAGGAAAGTTGCATAACTTCTTGAACTAGCTCCCAAAACTTCTTGAAATTGGCATTATTAATGAATTTTTCTTGTCATCACATTAGAATACTTCATAATAGGCAAAAAACCCCAACAAAAAGGTTAAGAAAGATTAAAAAAAAGTGAAAAAGATAAATGCCTTCAATTCCAATTGATTAAAACTTACAAGGGCACATGGC